GATTATCGGTTTGAGTAGAAGGTATCACAAGTTTAGTTTTGTACATTGTGTGCCATTGATCAAATCCACCATATAATATGATTATTCATTGTAGCTGTTAAGTTATTTTCCATACTAATGAATTTAGGTAAGATTGTCTTGCAAGTTGGTTGTTCTGACAAAATTATCCAGCCAATATCCAGTACATTTATTCTTCATTCTTGTATTAATCTCTAAAGAGAAATATTTATGTTAGAAAGCAAAATGACAATGTAATGAGGCTAGGGAGGGTGAGGATTCTATTTGAAAATGTTTGTAAAAATTTTGTTTAATTAACTCTAATGTGTAAAACCAAAATGCATAAGTATTTTAACTGATAACATCTTCAACCTTTGCTCTAACACTACATTTGATGACAGCTTTATAGCTGGACTGTTGTTTTGAACAGAGTTATGGCGTCAATATACAGAAATACAGGACCAGGATTTAATTCAATATCTCCTGAGAATGTTTTCACTGTTTAAAATATTACAGAAGTCACAGAAGGATTGTTTTTAATACTGTATAAATCTTTTTGCGAACTATGTTGACAAATAGCTTAAAATATCCTCGAAAATATCCAATATTTTAACAGTGTAATATATTAATAAAAAATTCCAAAGTGCATTCCATGTAAACTCTACGCCGAAGATACGGCAATATTTACTATAGATAGTATAGTAAATATTTGCCGAACTAGCGAACTCATGTATTATAAAACTTATAAAATATGTGGGACATACATTTGCACAAATTTGGTATTTAAATATATAATATGTGGTATTTCACTACTTACCAGATGAGGATAAGATTCCATGTTGATAAATAACGTCGGAATAATATCGCAAGTTCATTCAAATTGGCTGTCTTCAATTCAAAATAAATTGATAAAAATATCAAGATATTTTTGAAAGAATATAAAACACGATTTAGGCCACAATTTGTTGTATATTAGTTTCTCATCCCCGCCCGCATGCTTTTTAAGAAAATGGTCTTGTTCGCCATTATTACCATTATTGCCATTTTTGACCATTATTATAAATTTTGTGGTGTCTTCAAAATTATATTTGAAAGAAAGACAATCAGGAACGTTCCCAAACCAAAAGTTTCAGTTACGATACGAAATTTCATACCAAAACTGCTAGTTGCTCTCGCATTTACGTAAAAGTCTACCGGAAGCCAGGGGCAGGGAAAAAAAATGCGAGACGACTTGGCTACAAAATTATTTCTCTATTCTGTGATTATTTGACATGTGGTCATGTGGAGCGGTCATGTTTTTAATATAAAAACATGGTTTCAGTTGCAATTCACTAATTTTGTGCTGTTTTGCAATGCTATAAATAATGGCATAATGGTAATGGCCCGCCCGCCCGCATCAACTTTAGGTGAAGCCTCGGATGAGAAACTAACATGCAACAAATAGTGGCCTTATACACGAGGCCTGACGAGGCTAAAGTATGCCCGTTCGCAGGTTAGATGCGGGCACGATGTAAACAATTGATGTAAACGAATCGCTGATTGGCTTAAATTGGCATAAATTGGCTGAATTATATAAGCCCGTCGCTGAATGGCTAGGGATACGGTACGGTCACGGCACGTTTGCGATAGCATATATATCTGCTTCGCAGATACAAAAATGTAGCTTCCGGCAGCTACTGTTAGCTACGTCACAAACGTAAACAAACGGTCGGATATTTTTGCGACTTGTGGTATGGCTGGACGGCGAAAATGGCTGTAATAAGTTCAAAAGTTCATCTAAAAGTTCAAAATTCCGTCTACTTCAAGCTTACTGGTAATTTACAACAAAATTAATTTGCAACAGTTTTGCATTCGCAAACCGCATCATTTGGACAAATGAATTGCAAAACTATGAACAATATGTTCGATAGATTTGATATTACCGTATTGACTTTTCAAGTTTTCAGAAACATTGCACTATCCTTGGATCCCTAGTTAAAACCACGTGACTGTGTTTGTTTTGCAGCAAATTTAATAACATTGCTCTAAATCTTAACTCGGTCATGAGCATCGGAGACTGGGGAGCAAAAACGGGTTAAACGGCATACTCTGAGTGATGTTATTTAATTTCAAAATTGCGCGTGTTTATTTTTGTTCGTCGAAGAACTGAAAATACAAACGCAATTTGTGAAAAAACTGCGGGTCTACGGAGCGGCAACTTTTCGGATTTGAATTCACCGTGTTCGAAAATGTTAGTTACCGTGAAAATATTTCAGTTCCACGACATGCTTAATGAAAATCGTTTTCTAGGCACATTTTTAGGTGGCCGGACATTTGGCCGAAAGACACTTTGCCGAAAGCCATTTTGCCGAAAGACATTTTGCCGAACGGACATTTTGCCGAACGGAAGTTTTGCCGAACGGACATTTTGCCGAATGGACATTTTGCCGAATGGACATTTACGATCTGACGTCAAAACACGTTCCTAACAAATGAGTCATCCTCTGCACAAACAACTACCAATAGTCAATTTGGTTATGCACTACTAACAACCATTATGCACTGCTAATGACCATATAATGGTTATTTTACACAATCGTTGAGAATTAGACAGTTGAAAATTGAGTCACAGTCCCAAAATTTTTACGAAATAACATCTTTTTATCTTCATCTGTCCGTTGGGCAAAATGTCCGTTGGCAAAATGTCCGTTCGGCAAAACGTCCGTTCGGCAAAATGACCGTCGGCAAAATGTCCGTTCGGCAAAATGTCTTTCGGTAAAGTGTCTTTCGGCAAAGTGTCTTTCGACAAAATGTCCGGGTACCCATTTTTAGGTCACGGCAAACGGCCTATATTTCCTACAAATACACTTGAGGAAGATAGTTTTATTGTTTGTGCAATTACAAAGTTATGATAACTTTTATATTGGAATATAAAGCACAACACACAATATAATTAGTCACAATATTTGTGCATCAGCTGATTAAACAGTTCATCAATTGATCAGCTGAACATTGTGAAATTGCCAAAATAATGCACTTCTACCATTCCACACTGCTATTTTGATTCTTTATACATCCCACAACAAATTTGTGTCCCTTCAATGGGTGCCCACAGGATTTACACTGAGGCTTTTGTCTTGTTGTCACTGCCACGTGTCACTGCCACGAGTAAATATAGAAAAAAAAGTTGAAAGATTTTAGACTTCAATTTATTTGATAGATCTTCTAGAATTTGGAACCAACCAACTCCAATGAGTAAAATTATCTGGCGTCAGACATAATTAGTTGCATAATTCTTAGATACAACATTAATATATGACAAATGAGGTCACCTCTGACCCATGCTTCCGTTTTTATATTTCCAACCTGGGTAAACCAATATTTAACCCATTGAGTGGCAACACTCTTCTCTTGACGAGCAAAATCATCTGTCATTAGACAGAGTAAAAAATAAAGTAGGGTGCATCAGGGCGCATTGCCACTTAAAGGGTTAATCTTCTCGATCGGGGGGGGGGGTCTTGACCAAGAAGAAAATAAACAGTCAAATAATCATTGAATAAAAAATATATAGCTTACACATTGATGACAGAAATAAGTAGACAATGCAATGCGAGACAACCCCATATGCTCAAATATCCGCAAAGTTTTTGAAGGTTACCCACCAGCAACAAGCATTGCGAATGATAAAAGGAAGTTCCCAGCAGGGATTTTGGTACCAACCATATTTGGTTGACTGTCCCACACATTTAATCCACAGCCTTGATTAGGACACGTTGTCACATATTTAGCCATTATACCACAATGCTGTACATCAACCAGTGGATTCGGACTTCTGAATAATGGGCAGATTTGGAACAGGAGCATTAGTTGAGATAAACATAATTAATATATTGATATGACAGCAAACAAGTTATACACAGTGGGCATATTAGGCTATTTTGTCACACTTATTGGGCTAATGTCAATGGGTAATATCTTGGTTGAATGTTCATTTGCTAACAAAGATGTCATGCAATACTAATCGTAACCATAGGCTGGTAAATATAAATTGTTTGGTTAAACATGTTAATTAAAGTAATTTATACCATCCTTGGGATGAATCTTCTCCCACTGATTTTTTACTAGACATGTAATGGTCATCTTGAACACTGCTATAGTCAGGAATACTGCTATAGACAGGAATACTGCTGACATAAGGAATGGCAGTAGTGCTGGGAGTATCACATTTCTGGGTTTCACTCTCACAACCAATGGTGGCTGATGTATCTACAACAAACACATTTTATTTTTTTATGTTCAGTGGTTATACACACTCTAGTGAAGATTTTTTCCCCATATTTTTCAGACATTCACAGCTAATTGGAAATCACTTATATGTTAATTTTCTTATCTCCATAAACCAATAAAAATGACACAGAAAAAATACTTCTACCATGTGTTATAGTACTAGCCTAGGATTGTCAATTTTTATATCCCTATGCACTTACTTCATTCTGGAAATGTCCCCCTTAACCACCCCCCCGTATATCCCATATATTAAAGACATGCATAGATTATTAGCTTGGCTAGATAAATGTAACTTTAATTTTTCTTTTATGGTAATTAATTCGTTGCGAAGAAGACGCTTATCATTTTCCAGTTTCTGACAGTTAGTACATGTTGGTAGTGACTGAGTTTGAGTCCAAGCTTCTTTCATGGTAATGGGAGCAGTTTCTATATCAGCTGGCATCTAGAACAGGATAAAAAGATACTAAAACTTTTTACCTGTTCTCATTACCAGTGGCAGAACAAAATTAGAAGTTGACAATATATTAAAATATACGTTTAGAATATTAAGTTACTATACCCATTTACCATGAATATATTAAAGCACTCATGTTAAATACATACTTCCATGTCCATGACATCTGGGTGTTCCTGGTCGATATTTTCGGGGTCTGTCACTTGACTTGTTCGCCACTACTCTGAGTTGACGACTCACCATACTTTGCATGAAAAATCTATATAAATTAAATATATACATCTAAAAAAATTGTTTATTAATTAAAGGTGCAAAGGAATTTTGGACGAAGTACTGTAGCTCACCTTACGGCGAATATCTCTTTCCGTCTCTTCTGGCTTTGTCGACGAGGACAAGTGAACAGATGGACACACACTGACTCTTATTTCGTCTCTTTTCATTCGTGGCATATATTTCATGGTTTTTTCTTCCGAAGCAAGGACAAAAAATTTCCTTTGAAAGTCATCTTTAAAATACTGCGAGCATATTGACGATGTCGTCACAGGTGTCCATTTTAATCTCTTTCGCTGAACGAAATCGATCCACTTCTTTCGTCTTTTCCGAGCTTCCTGTCGCTCATCATCCGCGAATGGTATACAATGTCGCACAATACCCTTTTCGAGGTTCGGTTCATTAGAACCTATTTGGCATTTTTTTAGCGAAAAAGACTACAATGTTTTCCTATTGTTTTCCTATGTAAATGTTTACATGATATGCGAGGTTTTCTCTTGAAAGCCTCTCTCTGGGTGTACGTCACTTCCGGCAAGTACTTACCAGGCTCTTTTGTCCCGGTCATATTTTCAGTCAGCCAACTTTAACAGCAAGAATGATAAGGAAGATTACATTTTTGCTTATGAGAATATCAAGCAAATCGTCTTAAAATGTTCGAAATATGGTAAATATGTAAAAACCTCGATCATGGGATAGGCACTTTAATGTCAGTAACCTCGAGAATAAAATCGACGAGTACGTTAAAGTAAATGATTTCCTAAACCAAGAATAACTAAAGCTTTCAAAGGAGAACGCAAAGCTAGTGAATGTGCCAAAAATTTTATCGAAAGAGATAAATGATATTCAGCGATATCGACGACGAGACTGTTGTGAAATAACAGGTCTGCCAGTTTTACCTGGGGAAAATACTACTGAATTAGTTAAAAATGTCGGTTCACTGATGGATTTGCAATTGGCTGACGAGGACATATCAGTGACTCATCGATTGCCAAAAAATGAGGCTTCTTATAGTTCACGGTTGAGTAATGGGATATCTTCAAGTGGCTGCAGAATTGACCCGGCTCAACAATATCCCAAAATTATTGTGAAATTCGTTAGACAAGATACCAAAGAACTCTTTTACAGAAGTCGGAAAAAGCTTGCAGGGAACACTACTAAAGACATTAATCTTGGCAAAATATCGAATGATAATATCTATATCTGCACCGGAACTCGGCTCCGACCGGAACCCCGATTTTACAGAGTTCTGGTTCCAGCCGGAACTAAAAAAAAAAGCATGGCCGGAACCGGGACTCGGTCGTTTTTAGAAAGATAGAATATCAAGTTTATTTATTGAATAGCATCGAGTTAATTTGGACTACAGAAGTAAATGTACACTATTAACACTTCATTATGATGTTTAACGTTTGTCAATCTTTTATAGTAGCGTTTGCCAGCTCTCTCCTTGATGACTTGAAGTGTCTGCCTGTCTGGCAGCAGACAAAGTAACATATGACTATTTAATTCGTTTTCTTTCATATACCGATGTGATCATTTTTAATAATCACCTTGAATATTAAAATGCCTATGTCTTAGTTTAGGTGATTTTAAGAACTTTTGCAATATATTTTATAATTCGAAAATTTGATCTTCGTGGACTTTCAGGCGACCAAATTGGCGATTTTGCCTATTTTGAGGGTTTGACCGCCAGCATGAAAGTACTGGGGCGAGAATGCCTTTTTGCGCCGGTGTGACGTCATACCGGGAACTGATCAAAACAAAATACATATGATTTACTATAGTTTCTTGACAAAATCGAGTTTAAATTAGATGTTTCTTTAAATTTAAATGGAACTATATCCTTAACCTTCGGTTATCCAACTGACAGGCAGATTGGGCGAGATACAAATGTATGGCTGAGCTCGAGTGTGCAGGTCAAACACGTCAACGCTGATGCTATATTCTATCTTGGATTCTTGATTTATATACATAAATGTCGGGACAAAAAGGCAAATAACTGTAGGTTGTTGTTAAACCTAATCCAGTAGAATATATTCGCTTTGCCCTCGGTTTTGCCAATGCAGGCCAGTTGGCGGAAATTATTGTGAACAAAACGCCTCGTCCAGGATCAATACAGAGTCAGAGGCGTTGGATTGCTTGAATTTGGACGTCATGATGTGTCGTATAACGTTGGTGAAAAGGTGGGTAAATACGGTTTTTATGTGAATTTAAACTAAAAGAGAAACTCCAAAGGCAAAGTGAAATTGTTCTATTGTGACTGTTAGGTGTGCATGAGAAAATTGATCTTTGAATAAAGTCGCGATTCTACTTTTCCCTGCAAAATGCATAAAAAAAGCAAGAATAAATATATTTATGGTTCTGGTTCACATTGTTTTAAATTTAGATTTTTATTATTGAATCCTACTGTAAAAATCACTTCCTTAATTAAATAAAACAAACTTGTCATTTTGAAAACTTTGTTCAGTTCTTGAGTATATACTTTAAAATTCTAGACTTCGCTGTCGTCTCTGTTAGCAGATGAAACCATTTCACAACCTCGTAACCAGGGCCTTTCCGCGGTTCAGAGGCTCTGGTACGGGAAGCAAAGGCCCTGGTAAACACTGGTCATGTGACTCCAAAAATATTGGACATTTGTAACCTGGCCTTTATTTAGGTCATGTTATCCTGGGGGGAGGGGGGGGGGATGAAAAAAAACAACAGACAGCAGATTTTAGGCTTGTTTTTATTTGATAGAAATTATAAACTTTGAAGTCACATGGATTTTGAATTATGCTTTAAAGAATGCAGTATATTCGAGGTAAACGATTTTATGATGCATATATAAAATTATATTCCCATATCTTTTAATATTTATCCGGTTATATATCCTAAATTCCAGCAGATTCGTGGCTGTCTGTTTGTACAATTAGTTTTCTTCGTTTAATTACTCCTCCACCCCTTTTGGATATAAACCCTCCTTCATGCCTGATATATTTTTTGGTTTAATATCTCCATCCTTCACTTAGTATAAATTCACTAAAATCAAAATTTTCTGTTCCAGCTTGCTCAGAAAATATTCAATCTTTCATAACTGGAGTTATCTTTGGCATGTAAAATCATTAGGCCGTACCCTCAGTAAAATACTTATTTAGCTGGCTGACCATTACAGTAGTCAAAAGTTAATAAATGAATACATGCAAAAATTACAAATTAACTGCCCTCATACCAATCCATTGGTCTCTGACTCATCCAATAAATACTTAACAGAATAGTACGATAATAATAGAAAAGTGTGAAAATGCCAACGTTACCTAACTTTGTGTGACAAGAAAGTTAGATTACATTAATTTTACAGTCAGGTATTCTTTTCTTTATCGCCTCAATACTCTGGTTGATGATTCCAATGGCCCCCATAAAATTCCAATGGCCCCATAAATTTCCAATGGCCCCCATAAATTTTACTGGAGAAAATGTTTCCCCCACTTCTTGCCATTAAATCTCCATAGCCCCCAATTTTACCCATCCAATTAGGGAGAGTCTTGTGTGGTCACACTTTAGTAATGGGAATATGGGATAATCAAATATGGCATACTTTGTTATTTTTCTCTGTCCAACACCAGACAATTTTACTTGTCAAGTGTAAGGTTAAGTAAGTAATAAAAAGTGGCTGGATATTCTAACTTTTGCTCCATATAATTGGACTTTGGTTGTGAGCAAAATGTAAAAAGACAATTACCAGTAA